ACGGCCCTCCCCGCCGCACCGGGTTGAGGCCTCCCGGAGCCCCACAGTGTTCGGGACGGGTTTTGCCAGGCGGTCCCCGGTCCCACAGGGGCCAGGCCACACTCTGGGCCTGTGGCTCACCTCAGCACCCCAGGGCTGTGATGGAGGTGGGATGGCAGCCCTGAGGAGGTGCTGCTGGAGCTAAACCTGGTCTCTGCACCATTGCCCAAGGGAACACTCACGATCAGGCTCTCTGAGGTCCTCTGGTTCCTTGGATGTGAGGACAAAGTCCCTCTCAGGTACAGGCACTAAATGACTTACTCAAGCAGAAAACTTCAGCTCCAACCCATCTGGCAGGGCTCTGTGCTGACCTTTCCAGGCCCCAAGGCCATGCTTTATATTGCAGCGAAGGCAAACAGCATTAATTTCATCACCAGGAGCACCCTGCATCACTTTGTTCACCCTGGAGGGAGAGGTTTTTCCCGGCAGTTTTCTAAGCCGCTGTGCAAGTTCATCATCCCTTGGCCTGTTTTCTCCCAGCTGAGAACAGGGAAGGAAGAGGAAGTCATGGTGGGCTTCATTCAGGACGTGGAGGGTGTACGCCTCTGTTATTCAGTAGCATCTCTCTCTGCTGCCGGGCTGCTCTGGTGCATGGGGTCGGGTGCATGACGGCAGCGGTGCCTCTGGCAACAGCTCCTGTCAGAAACATTTCATGCTTAGCTGGGAGCTGCGGCATTGCCAGCAGTCCCCTTCTGCTTAACACTTCATTAAAGTGCCATCTCTGTCCAGCCTTCATTAAGGTGCAGCATCCTCAATGCAAACGAGATAGAAATGCATTGGTGTCCCTTCTGTATGCCGCTGCTTGCACTGCCTGAGCAACCAGGATGAAAAGTTTTGTCTCCCTTCCCCATGCCTGATGATATGTATTTGTCCCTGCGGTGTGGTTCCATCCCCGTATCTCCCCCCAGTTACTTACCTGCTGTACAAGCCAGGGGAGTCCCTCTCTCACCTCACCAGCCACCTGGGTTTGCTCCTGCAGCAGGATCAGGCCTCAGGGCTCAGTGCGGATCCCCCATCACAGCCGTAGCCCTGCCTGGGCCAGCCATGGGCACAGCGAAATGGGCTGCAGGGTCACGCGCTGCAGCCAGACGAGGACAAGATTTTCATTGCAGTGCTTGTGCTGGCAGCCGCGGCACAGCTGTCACCCCCTTCGTGTGCTGCCGGGGCAGATCCAGTGCAGCACCAGGCACCTCTTCCCCTGCTTTGCTGCCACCGAAGGCGCGTGTGATCCCTGCTGGGTTGCTGGTACCTCTCCAGGTCCTCTCTGTCCCCCACAGGTCCTTCATCTGTGCCTTCTCACAGCAGGGGTTATTCCAGCTCGACTCCCACATCCTCACTTGTTCCCCAACGGCAGCGCAAGGCGAGGCCAGAGCTAACAGCATCAGCTGCCTGGATTCACTCCGAGGAGGCAGCACAGCCAGGCGTGCGATGCTAATCTGGCCTTCAGGCTGGCGATAACCCTGCGACTTGGGATGAACTGGCAGCATCCGTTCACCAGGCAGCCCAGATCCCGCCTCACTGGCACCCCCGACCCCAGGCTGGGCTCTCCCTTGGCCACGCACGCCAGTGTGTGTTTAGCGATGGCCACTGCTGTCCCACAAGGCACATTTGTTTGTTTGACAGCACAGATGCTGTGACCGTTCACTTGTCACAAGTTGCTGGCTTTGTCCTTCAGAAGGAAGGAGCTGGGGGCCAGACTATTTTTGGGCTGTAGGAAGTTGGCTGCTTCCCGAGGTCCTTCCTGCACCCACTGGAGAAACAGCAGCTCCCAGGGGAGCCGGGACAGGCTCCTGCCGGGACACCCTGACAAGGGCAGCACCCAGGAAGGGGAGATCAAGGGGAGGGATGTACCGCGAGAGTGGTGAGGGACACCCAGTGTTGTGGGGGCCATTAGCACAGCACCTCTGCAGAGTGCTCAACCTCCCACCAGCTCCTTCCCAGACCCCTGGGAAGGGGCTGGCTGCTGCCCTCCTCTTCTAAAGCCCTTCCCTCCTGGCTTGCCATGCAATTCAGGTGGGCTGGAGATGGCAGGGCTGTTTAACCCCTTTGCACGTGGCAGCCCGGCACACCAGCCTGGGGCTGATGCTGTGACCTCTTTGCCCTCTGGGTCCCCCAGCACCGTCCTCTGGCCCTCAGTCCTGCTGCCCTGCGGGGTGCTCAGAGCCATCCCGGCCACAGGGGATGGATCCTGCCTGTGTTTGTCACCTCCCCTCACTTTCCCAACGGCTGGGGCTGAGATGCAATGAGTTTGTGTGTTCTGCTGCAGGGCAGCCACCAGCACAGCAGACCCCAGGTGGCACCTCTGCACGCAATCGCCTTGGATGGGCTTGATGACACGTCTGCCCCAAACCCACCCCACTCTCGTGTTTCTGAGATTTTCCCCCCGGTGTCCCCCGCTTCATCCCTGCAGGGAGAGGCCCAGCAGCCTCGCAGGAACGGCTCTGTGGGTCCCACTGGGACAGCTGGTGGAGCTGTGGGGCTGGGGTCAGGCCCCGAGGAGCCCGGGCAGGGCAGCGGGCAGAGGTCGTGGCTATTATCGCTGCAACAACCAACCTTTCTCCTGCAGAACGGAGTGACTCTGATTTCTCTGCTCTGCGGGCCAGGTCACACCTGGTTTTACAGCCAGGCGAAGGAGAAGAAAGCAGCAATTCTGTTTACTTAGAGAGTAATTAAAATCCCAGCTCCTGGCATGTACAGAGGCAGCAGAAACCTCCCCCACAGCGCACAGAGAGCAAGACTTTGCAGTCCTTTATTATTTCATTATTGGCCCGGCAGGATTAGGAGGGTGGGTCAGGGAACAGCTCTGGCTTTAAGCAGGTTTAGCTTCTTTGAAAAGGCTTATCCGGGCTCAGTCTCACTTGCTGGCTGCGCTGCAGTTATTTGCTGAGCAGAGGGGTTTGAGTAATGTTGGGGGGTGGGGTGGGCAGGGGTCATGAGTTTTTAATAGCAAAAAATGGTAAAGCCCAGTGGGGAAAACCTGGGGGGTTTCTTTACCAGGAACCGGCTTTATATGTTGAATTTCGATGAACAGGGAGGGCAGTTTCTCAGCTCTGCCAAGTCCTGCATCGCTCCCTGGGGAAAACCAGAGCCTGGGGGCTGCCCTGTGTGTGCCGGGGGGCTTTGGGGCGGTTTCTTGCACAGGGCCAGCATGGTGCTGGGGCAGGACGGTCATTGCCAGCAGCTTCCTGCAGAGCTGGATGAAGTTTTGCCCTTTTTCTCCTTTAGCAAGTAAACAGCCCGGGTGGGGTGGCTCCGGAGCATGCCGATCCCAGCCCGGCAAGGAAAGAGGAGCTGTGGGAACTGTGGCAGCAAATCCCTCTTCTTCCCAGGCCAGAAAGAGGAGCTGTGGTGGGATGCCGTGTCCCCCATAAGTAGTTCTGCCCCGGGGATGCTGCCCACAGGCACCGAGCATCGCAACGGGGATCACCCTGGGATCAAACCTCCCAGCCCGCTGGCAGCAGCCCGGCCAGGTGGTTCTCATTGCAGCCTCTGACTCACCTCCCAAAAATGCCTGCGCTCACATCATGGCAGGAAACCGCTACCGGGAAGTGGTGAAAACCCTGCGACGGCTTGAAATTCGGCTTCCCCCAGCAAAGGGGGAGATCAAACGGCAGCACTTTGTCCTCAATCCCTCTGACGCCAGGGCTAGTCATCGGGGTGACTTTTCGGCTGAGTGAGTGGTGTGTGGGGTTACTCCAGACTCGGCAGCTTCTTGCGGGGCGTTTGGGAGTGTTTCTCCCAAGGAGGACTGACCTCAGAAATATTTTTGAGTAAGTCATCAGATGGGAGGAATGAGCTCAGCTTGCCGGCATTGCTGAGGGCTTCACGGCAAGCCCTGTGGTCCTGGGCTGTGCCGGTGACCACCGAGAGCTCGGCAGAGGGTCAGGGCTGGGTAGCAGTAGGTTGTAGAACCTGGCTTTGTTTTAGGAGCTGAAATAACCCCCAGCTCCCTGGAGGCTGAGAAACCTCCTGGGTCA